GAAGGAGCGAGACCCTGTCTCTACTATAAATAGAAGAAAATTAATTGGCCAACTGATATGTATATAAAAAAAAAAAATTAGCTGGGCAGTGGTGGCGCATGCCTGTAGTCCCAGCTACTCGGGAGGCTGAGCAGGAGGATCGCTGGAGCCCAGGAGTTTTAGGTTGCTGTGAGCTAGGCTGACGCCACGCACTCACTCTAGCCTGGGCAACAAAGCGAGACTCTGTCTCAAAAAAAAAAAAAAATAATAATAATAATATAAACAGAACAAAAAGGCAGTCCATGGAACGGGAGAAGGTATTTGTAAATCACATACCTGTCAAAAGATTGAAATCCAGAGGGTATTGAGAACTCCCTAAAACTCAGCAACAAGACAAAGACGCAGTTAGTTATTTATTTATCTACATAGACTGGTGGAGTGCTGTAGTGAGAGGGAAAGTGGCAGGACAAGTTCAGCCTGTAAATGTGAACAACAGAGTGAGCTAACTCACTACCTTCGGACCAGCCAAGTCCCAGGTTAAAACTGCAAAAGAGATTTCTCTGAAGAAGATGCACAGATGGGATAAACACGTGCAGAGATGTCATTGTCACTAGTCATCAGGGAGATGCAAATCAGAACCAGCGGTGAGATGCCATCTCTTTGAGCAGCAGAGGAGAGGTCCGTTTCTGCACATCCTCACCAACACTTGGTGTTGTCAGTCTTTTAAATTCTACCCATCTCATAGGTCTTCAGTGGTATCTCATGAGGGTCTTAATTTGCATGGCCTTAGTGGTCAGTGATGCTGGACACCTTTTATGTGTAGATTTGGTGAAGTGTCTGTGTGACTCTTTTGCCCATTTTGTAATTAGGTTGTTTTCTTGTTGTTGACTTTGGATAGTTCTTATGTCATCCGGGTGAGAGTCCTTTGTTGGGTATGTGGTTTGCAAACATTTTCTCCTAGAGGGTGAACAAGGCAAGAAGGTGGCTTGGTTTTTCAGTGTCTTAGAAGGGACTTTGGCAGAGCACACGTTTTTGATTTTGAAGACGAGTGTTTTGGAGGCGAGAGCTGACAGCCCAGTGAGTGGATCGGGCAACTCCATGGGCGCCTGCACGGGGAGCCCGGGCTGGGGGTCTTGTTTGCGATCCCGGTGTGGGTACGGATGGAGGCGTTGGCAGGCGATTGGAGGGGGTTCCAGAGTGCAGGGGGCCACTCGAGCTGGAAGCGGGGCTTTGGGAGTCGTGGGCGTGTGTGTGGAGCTCTGCCCAGAGTCCTGAAGTCCTTGCCCGGGCTGGGTCAGGGTGGCGGGAGCAGCTGGGCCTGGGTGGGGCACTGAACATGGGGGAGGGGTAAAAGAGGAGCATCCAGTAGGGGACTGAGAAGGAGCCTCCGCCAGGGAGGAGCAGGAGAGAGTGGTGTCCTGCACACACGGAAGGAGGTGCTGTTCTGGTAGGGTCTTCTCCGTCCCCTGGTCTGCAGGGAGGACTGACCTCCCAGGTCGAGACGGACCCTGCCGGCAGGAAGTTCGCCGGTCGTGAGCTGAGCTGAATGGCACTGGCTTGTTGCTGGGCCGGCCATGGACAGGCTGAGTGTGTCTAACTGGGCACAGAATTGCGACTTGGAGGCTCTGAGAGTCTGTGGGGCTATTTTTAAATTTTATTCTTTGAAGGTATTTGGCTTGCATTACGTTTTTTTTTTTTTCTTTTCTTTTCTTTAAATATACTTGAGTCATGTCAAGGAAGCTACGTTAAATGTGAACCCGAGTATTATGTTGTGAACCTTTCCGCCTATGATTTAATGTCTCTGGCTCTTGTTTGCTCAGTGAAGATGGTAGAAACACCGCTCTGACGTTAGGACAAAAGGTTAGGGCTCGCTGCCTTAAGCCCACAAGTCGGTGGTTCGGGTATTCTACTTGGAAGACAAAGACTGAGTAGGAGCTGAGAGTCAAATGGCTGCTATGCTTCACAGCTGTAGGTTATGTTGGACCTTATGGCTGGGAGTACTGAAACAATTAGAGCAAACATTGGCTCTATATAGTCTACATTCCTCTCGGCGCTGAAGCACTTCCTGCCTGCAGGCTTCCAAGTACTGGGATATGACGCACACCCAACACGATCG